ACACTGTGCCCATCTTGCTCCTCTATCTCCGCCAACTCCGACATGATTATTTTTTTTAAGCAATTATCTGCCGATAACAATAATATTCCAATATCACCGAGCAAAAGCCAACAATGTGACGTCACCTGAGTCACTTTTGTCTGGAATGGAAAAGCAAACGGCTGCCATCATAAGAAAATCTTATAATAATGGGAGAAGGAAAAGAATTGATCCATTTGTGCCCAACAGCTACATTTAGCATGATACGGAAAGACCTCTGAACTTGTTTTGAATGGTCTTAAAAGATGACATTTTGTGTACATTGTACTTTACCCATTTGACTGTTAGGAATAGACAGAATTTCCATACTTTTATTCACAATCCAATGTGGATTATCTAGTGTTTTGTTACGTTTAATAATCCCAAGTGACTTTAAGACTGAATTTAATGATAAATGCGAAATCACTACTTAATCATATTTTTAAAAATTCTTTAGATTTGTGCTCAGACAAGCTCAAAGAACATATGGACCCAAGACATCTCAGATATATGAATTTCAGATACGGACGTGTGTTTGTTTATAGTAATGGAACAAGATTAAATTACAAGTAATTTTGGACAATTTCTATTGGTTCATTCGTCATGAAATGTTCACGCAAAGTAAAGAACAGGCAGCACTTTCAAATGGCATGAATCAAAAAGTTATGGCAGCCATGAAGCTCATCCATCTCCACAGAAAGAGATTCTCAATGAGTTTATGACAGCGATATAAAGCTATTAATGACAGAAGAATGTATGATAAATAAAACTGTGTTTTTTGGTTTGCATTGTATTTGAAATCAGCCTTTCCTGAATTCAGCACAGATTTTTTTTTCTTAAATACGAAAAAACAAACTTCATGAAATAAAAATTACGATTCTTAAAACCATCTAGGTCGAAACTGCCCTGGACTGCCATATTGTGGCTTACACTGATTTATATTTACCCAGTGAGTGAATCATCACAAAAAAGCTGATTCATCACTAAACTGGACAAACACAGACATTTCTGGACATTCCTTAAGAAAATCACCTCATACATCAGTTCAGATCAAAGCCAGAGAGGAATAAAAACAAAGTGAACTTACATTAAGTCTCTACGTTTTTCCCATCTGCTCCCATTAAACGCAATGCGCGCGTCTGTGTCCAGAAGCTGTTTACTACACAGACTGACCACAGGCCACTGATTAACCACAGAGCAAACACATACACGCACACATACGCACTCACACACGCATAGGGCTGGTGGTCCTGGAGCATGTCGGAGAACCCACCGCTTCAAATATTAACTTTCATCCCACAATCCCCCCCTGCCTCCCTGTTCAGCCAATCAGAGAGCCCGTCTATTTGTCTACAAAAAATAGCACCAGATTCACCTTACTAACCCAACTCACATGCCCCTGAAGGGAGAGAGAGAGAGAGAGAGAGAGAGAGAGAGAGAGAGAGAGAGAGAGAGAGAGACAGACAGACAGAGAGAGAGAGAGAGAGAAGTAAAAGAAAAAGATAAAGAAAGAAAGAGTGAGAAGGAAAAAAGTAAGAAAAGGAGACAAAGGACAACATAGAAGGAACAATGAAATGAGAGAAAAAAGAGGGGGGAGAGAGAGAGAGACAAGCAAAGGAAAGTGAAAAAGATAGAGAAGTAAAGAACGAGAAAGAAAAAGTAAAGAAACAGAAGTAAAGAATAAAAAACAGAAGCAAAGAAAGAAAAAGTGAGTGAGAAAGAAAATGAAGAGAGAAAATGACAAAGGACAATGCAGAAGGAACAATGAAATAAAACAGAAAAAAGTGAGTGAGGGAGAGAAAAACAAAGAAAAAAGAAGTTAGATGAGAGAGAAAAAAGTTAGTCGAGAGAGAAAAAAAGACAGAGAAGGAAAGCAAGAAGAGAAAAAGAAAGAAAGACGTAAAACAAAAGAAAGAACAAAAAACAAAGACAAGAGAGAGAAAGAAAGAGAGGTGGAGAGATAGAGAGAATGAGAGAGAGAAAATACGACAGAGACACAGAGAGAGAGAGAATGAGAGAAAGAGAGACAAAGAATATGAGAGAGAGAATATGAGAGAATGAGAGAGTATGAGAGAGTGAGAGTATGAGAGAGAGAGAGAATGAGAGAGAGAGAATATGAGAGAGAGAATATGAGAGAGAATATGAGAGAGAGAGAGAGAATATGAGAGAGAATTTGAGAGAGAGAGAATATGAGAGAGAATTTGAGAGAGAGAGAGAGAATATGAGAGAGAATTTGAGAGAGAGAGAGAGAGAGAGAGAGAGAGAGAGACACAGAGAGAGAATGAGAGAGAGAGAGAATATGAGAGAGAGAATATGAGAGAGAGAGAGAGAGAGAGAGAATATGAGAGAGAATTTGAGAGAGAGAGAGAGAATATGAGAGAGAATTTGAGAGAGAGAGAGAGAGAATGAGAGAGAATTTGAGAGAGAGAGAGAGAGAGAGAGAGAGAGAGAATATGAGAGAGAATTTGAGAGAGAGAGATAGAATATGAGAGAGAATTTGAGAGAGAGAGAGAGAGAGAGAGAGAGAGAGACCAACCAACCTATCTAGCATACCTGAGCTAGCAAGCTACGTGATCAGTTTTTGCTGGGTGTTTAATGTAACAGTAAAGTTTAGTATCATACACATTCATGATTTTACACCACGGCTCCTGACTAAAGTGTTCAAACATATCAAAATACCTGAAGACATTTCTACACAAAATGCATCACAAGATTTCCTTTTTCTGAGCTTTGTGAATAAACTGGAATGGTCAGAACACAAAACCCACCCCGTTACATATAAGATGCAGCTCGTCTATCTGAAAGTCTCGTCTCTGCTTCAAGTGACTGACACCTGAAAACGCACAGCCTCCTTTAAAAGGTTTCAGCCCTCAGCATGACTTAGCAGCCTGGCTCCAAGCGTTAGAGCGCTGAGACGCTGTACACTCTGCCGTTAACACTGTGTGCTCCTGCTGACTCGGTCACCACACCGTGAGGGGGCATTTTGTTTCAGTCAACATGTACCGTCCACCCCGGGACTGAGGACAGGTTAAGACTGTTGGGCCGCGGGACACTACAGCTGTTCAGAGGGCCTGAAAGCAACACTGTGTAGTGCTTTGCTTGAACAAGTCATGTGTCTTGATATGCATGCTCCAAAATTTCGCCTACTGAAAATACTCCACAGTGGCACTATCTGTTCTTCTAAAGAGGAAAAAAGGCCAAATAATTTGGCTGGAAAAAAGCAAAAAGACTAAAGAGCCCATATCCTACGTTTTCTAGTGTTTTAGTTTTTCCCACCTGAGGTCCATGTATGATGTCTGTGTAGCCAAAAACCAAAAATAGCCAATATTAATCATTTTCCAGCCTCTCTTTATTCCTTATCAATTAGCCTATTTTTGTTACTGGTATATGTAAATGACCTCTGTTCTGATTGGCCCTGTATTGTGCCTTATTAAAAAGCAGTCTGGGCTAAAACATTGTATATAACTTCAGCATGAATGGGCGGGGCTAAACTGCTATACTCTAAATCAGTGGTTATGTGTAAATATGCTAGTTTTCATGACATCACAAAAACAATTTCAAAATGGGTTTATTTTTCCATGAATGGACTGTATGGAAAGGGGAGTGGCCGACATGTCATAGCCTCAGTCAGAGATGCCTTCACACTTCCAAAAGTGCAGGGGGCAAAACTTGCCATTTATTATTGTTAAACAAAATATAATAATAATAATAATAAAGCTGAGTTGCTGAGCAGTTGAGTGACTGATAAAAGACAGACTAAAACTAACTTTCAGCACTACATTTAGCACGTTTCATAGCTATAATATGTTCCACGAAAACCTATTTATAAAGAACATTTATGTTTTTAGAAAAAAAATTTAATTCCATGATGAATATGCACATTGCGCTCCGATAGTAAACGAAAAGAACATCAAATCTTTGTTTACCAAAAGCAGTTAGAAATACGTAAACTAACACTGAGTAAATTTCACATAGTATGGAACATAAACTGTGACCATGCATCACAGCTTTTACCCGACTAATGAGCCGCAGCTCCTCTCACTGAACACAAACTCACGTAGGTTTCGTCGCCTGGGAAATGCCCCGCCCCCCCCAGCTGAAATGGAGATTTTGATTGGTTCTGCCACTGAGTTTGACCCTCTCTCTTTGTGTCTTTAGGTCCATGCAGTTTAGGGAGAGTGGAGATTTTTATTTTTTTTTGATTGAAGCAACTTTAGCTTAAAAAGTGGTGGGCATCACCCCTGCACTGAGGCTACGTTCACAATATCAGGTTGAAGTGGCTCAAATCTGATTTTTTGCCCTAATGTGACTCAGATCTGATGTTTTCAGGGCTGTGTGAACACACAAATCTGATCTTTTCAAATCCGACCCGAGCCACTTTCATACATAATCGGATATGTATCCGATTCGTGGCCATGCGACCTTAATGTGACGCTCAGATCGGAATTCCTGTGCTTTTTTCCACTGTGCGTGTGCCGTCATTCAGCGTTACCATGGCAACAGCGCCGAACAGAAGTTAAAGCCTGTAAACGGTGGAGAAGCAACACATCTCACCTTTTTCTCCTTCGTCTCGCTCTAATAATGAACGGCTGAGAGCTGATCAGAGTTAATGATCTTCACAGAGAAGCTCGTTCTGCTCGTTAGTTTGTTTGCTGATGACGCACACGATTCATTTACGTGACGTTACTGATTAAGATGTGCGCATGCGGGTCATTCAGGGCGCCGGTTTGTTCACATTAATGACAGATTTAAACGAGTGTGAACCATCGTGTCAGAGAGATCAGATTTGAGCAACGAGGTTTGTAATATGAACGTAGCCTTAGACAAGCGGAGGGTCAAACGCCTGCTCAACCCTGTGGTTCTAGCAGCCATGGCCTCAGTCAGACAAAAGCACAAGTAATACACATCCTGTCTGCTGCAACGTAAACATATTGCTGTGAAAGCTAACGACAGAGGAAAATAACAGTCAGGGCAGCACTCACCCTGTAGATCTCCTCCAGCAGCAGCTTGGCGCAGTTCTTGCCGAGTTCTTCGGGAAGCACAGGGTCTCCCTGCCCCTGCGGTGTCGACCCCAGCTCCGCACTGAGAAGCGTGCCGTTCACCGTCTCTGCCACCAGAGTCAGACCAAAACCTGGAGACCTGATCAGAGGAGGAACATCACGCACATCTCCTTAAACATGGCAGAAACAATGAATAGCATCAACATGGTAGTTTCAAAGAGATCTGATTTATCAAGCATCAGGCAAATCCTCCATCTGAGGATGTGCTGGCCAAAGTCATTAATTAGCCAACGCTCCAGATGTGGGCGCTCTGGACTACAGCAAACTAATAATCACAGATATTTATACACGTATTTTGTGAAGTTAAGTTGCTTGTTTAGTTACTTTGTTAAGCAATACTACAAACTGCAACCACCTGCGTTAGTTAGAGCCTTTGCTCATTCATACAGCCACTCGCCGTTTCACTGGCCTGGGGGATTTTATGGAAAAGTAAATAATAAAAACATGAAAAATAAGAATTATTTCCAACAACCACCTCCTGAAGTTGAGAACCACTGCTTTATAACTCTGTGAGCTTTATATCCATTTATCTTATAAAAATTACTGCTTTCATCTTAAAAAAAATTTACTTAACTTAATTTTAAATATCTACTAAAATTTTCACAAACAAACAAGATGAACAGTTTAATTTAATTTCTGTGCTCAACAGACAGTCCTAATGTTCACACAATGTAAAGGGCAGCTGTGATGTTTAAGTAAACAGATAAAAAAAACATTTTAACAATTGTATTTTCTTGTGACAATGGCACCATGCACTTCTGCACTGAACTTAAACACACAAAATTTGTTCTACTGAAAGTTCAAAAGTTATTCGTAATAAAAACACCACTGGCATAAAAATAATAATAAAAAGAAAAACACTTACTTTCCTGAACTGGCTCCTTTCATGTGGTCAGTGTAGATGTAAATGTCTGGAATGAATTTGTTTAAGATGCTTCTGGCCGTGTCCACTATTCTGTTGGCCATCTGAGGAGACACACGCACTGAGTATCTGACACACAGGGTCAAGGGGTCAAATCTCAAGTGACGAGTACGACAGCATCAGCTACAGACAACATTGCAAACCCACCATATATTACGATACACACACACACACACACACACACACACACACACACACACACAATCTATGCTGCTTATCCTTCTGGTCACAGGGGGTGCTGTAGCCTATCCTAGCGGTCATCTGGCAGAAGGCAGGAAAAACCCTGGACAGGTCGCCAGTCCATTGCATCCATATATGATAACACAGGATAGAAACGCATCAAGCCCAGTCAGTATTGATGAACGAAGAGAAAAAGTCTGTGCTGGCTGAAAGACTGGGTGACCGCTGTGGACAGAGTGGCCAAGCTGCTACAGAAAGTGAATGCAATATGGCTTGCGATATATTAAAAGTGCATTGGTGAACCAAAAATGTAGCATGATTAAAGGACCCATATCCTACACATTCCATGTATTTTTCCTGAGGCCCATTTGAAACACTCTGCAACTTTACAACTAGTGGAAATGGGCATCACCACCACTGTAAAAAAAGAGTGTCAATAAGTTTCTCTTCAAACAACTCTGAAAGACTTTTCACCTCAACCACTGATATTCCACTTACATATTAGATTACTTATTTTAAAAAACGTGAGGAAAATTTGGTTTTCCAAGATACGGCTGCTTTAAAATTGGCCTGCATTATTCTGGCCACAATAATTTCCTTTTGTTGAAACACATGAACATCTTGACTTATCAAAAGATCCAGAGAACAGTGGAACAGTGACTGGTCAGGATGCTCACAGAACCCTGTAAAACATCTTTTGCATATCGCAGCCTTCTGTGATATCAGTGCTACAAAGGCCAATATCACAATGATTAACAAACCATATCCTGTGCCGCCCTAGTGACCGATCTGGGGAAGGATACGCTGTTCCTCTGATCCTCTTGATCTTGCCTGGGTCTGTGAGCAGAACGGGCTTGAGGGCCCGGCAAACTGGACAGGAGAAGTGGACCTCCCCTCCTCCTCCGGGAGCAATACCTCTCTTCACTACCTGAAGATCAAACACCACAAACAAGAAGGCTGTAGATAAGAGTGGGCAATACGGTAAAAGTACAGCATCACAGTATTTTAAGACATTTTCATGACACATGATAACAGCTTCAGAATGAAAAATGCCATAAAATATTGACTCTAGCCACACCTTTATTTCCAAACCTTCTCCATTGATGCCAAACGTCTTCATCAGAGGAACAGCAGTGGCTTTCAGTAAGTCCACCTGCAGAGCAACACCCAAAAAACCTTGAAACAGAAAAGTTGACGAACGTAACTGTAGTTCCTAACAAATATCTAGCACATCAGCTTCAGCCAGGACCTCACAGCAATCATTCAGGTTGAAGACAACTCTACCCAAACAACACCCAAACTAAATGTAAAGGTTAAAGGGCTGGATAGTAGTTTTAATGGCATACCACAGAAAAACACAAGGATAATCATACTGTTATAATATTTAATAACAATGTGAAAAAGTCTCAGTCTCACTGCAAAGCACACACAAGGACACCACATGTTTACACAGCTTGCATTCCACTTTGCCGTTGCTTTTGTCAGTTTGCTGCTCATTGATTGGTCCATACGTCTCCTGCGAGCATTGTCTGTCCAGCATTATCACTAACTTTCAGCAATAAACACATTCAACACAGCTGGAAATAACCCTTTATCAAGAGGGTCATCAATGGAACTTGCCATTAAAGAGCTGTACTTGAATGAGAGGGCTACCATCATCATTCTTCAGTCTGGCAGCTTCAACACGTGCAAGCAGCTGGGTTTCAGTCTAAACTACTACAGATGGTTTGAACAGTCAGTAATTAATTCTGTTTAACTTTGACAACAGTACCATACATTAGAGCTGCACAATTATTTTGTTTACTGTTATCATGATACAAGTTTCTGCGACAAACCTCTCTGCGCTGGGACTGAACCTGCTCTCCCACACAGGAAATGAGTAACTTACCTTAACAACCAACTACAAAACACACTCAGAAACCTTATAATATCTGTCCATAACTCAGGTAAACAGAAATTCAACTCAAAACTGCGTGCAGCACAGGGGAAAACACGCAGCAAACAGGCTGGCTCTGTTTTTCTGCTAGCCAGCTGGGCTACTGAAGCTTGCTACCTTATGCCCTATACACACACACACACACACACACACACACACACATATGTAAGCGTACATTAAATGTTCGCTAAAATATAATACAATTACTTCAACATTACTGAAGTTTTCAAAGCAACTTTTCTACAATGGGGTTTTTACTCACTGAGGGGTCTGTTGGGTCATTAGTGACGCCCTTCAGGATGGCTTTGAGTGGGTTCTTCATGAACGGGGCCAGCATGATGAGGGCCTCCAGATAGTAACCAATGGAGCGCTGGACATTACACTCATGCTCTACAGAGCCCCCATACAGCAGACCCGGCTGGTAGAACAGGGCCGTTCCTGTAGGGAGCAAAAGAGCAGAGGTCAAACTCCCATCCTTCACTTCCATTAACTAATCACAGCTAAGCCTGTCTATTTTAATTATTTTAGTAATGAAGTAATCTACAAATCATTTTACTGATCAATCAGAGATTTTAGAACTTTTGGGTATAATATCAAACAATTCATGGCTTTTCAAAGAGACCAGAACGTTTTATTGGAAAAATAAACTACATTGAAAAGACCAAAAAAAGAAGTCAAAAGCGGTTACGGTCTTATGAAAAAGTTTGAAAAGATCAATTATGTTTTGTTGATTTTCTCAGTAAAGAAAAGTTATCACATTCTCTACAGGAAGCTTAAAAATGGCACTTCTCTGCACATTTGAGCTCACAATTTCTGTTTACTTGCTGAGTTTAAAACAAAATATAAAATGTGCCAGAACTTTTGCACAGGGCACATTTTACGTTTTTAAGTATCTCCAAAATGGTAACTTTACAAAAGAGGCCAAAAACTTTCTTCACTTTGAATGAGAGTTAATGTAAAAAGACTATTATTATATCTCATCATTATGATGATTTCAAACAGAGTAAAGCGCAGCTGCAGTGTTCAGATGATTTAGGAAAAAATAAATGGAGATTTTTTTGATGCTGATATGATTCATTATAATGCAAACTTTATTGTTTAATCAAGTAATTATGACTAATTAAGGATTCGAGGCAAACTTCACGCAAATCTGAGGGTGAACTAGAGGAAAGTTTTAGCCCACCTGTTTGGTTGATTTCAATTCTGGTGCCATTGGTCACCTTGTCCAGCAGCCTGATGAAACTAGCTTCGAAATCTGCAGACAGAAACAGTTTTTTGAGCACTGAATCACTGACATACGGTCACAGTCACAATACAGGAGCCTCCAAAAACACTTTTACAAATTTGTGTGTTACAGTCGCTAAACTGCTGAGAGAATCAAGGCAGGGAAGTCAGCCAGCCCCACCGCCAGGACAGTAATAAGAGCAGCCGCTACGTAAGTTCTTCTATCCAGCAGTTTCAGACTGATGCAGAATGTGTTATATATGGTTCTATGTAGAACCTCTCTGAAAATGGTTCTGTATAGTAGGGTATCGTTTTGGTAGATACTTACCAGAACAAAGTTGGCAAGGTCTTTGTGAGATACCAAACTGACCTTTCCTTTCAGTTCATTTTCAGTCATCTTTCTATTGTTCTATTATATTTTCAATTGTTCTACTATGTTATTTTCCATGTTTCACGTGTTTTTGTTTTCGCTCAGTTTCTTTTTGTTTGTCTTTTATCTTTTACTCGTGTTTTGTATGACTTGTTTCGTTAATTGTTATCGTGCTATTTTGTAACGTATGGTACGTCTACTGGACCGCAGGAAGAATAGCAGCTATCGTGATAGCAGCTAATGGGCATCCTAAAAATAAACAAAAATATCAAAATTGCAATTTAAGAAAATGCAATTTTCAAACTGCAACAGCTGCAATTTATAGCCTACATCATGAAAAACGTTGCCTTCAGTTTTAGTTGGCTGCACCACAGAGCTCGTGAACTGCCTGTAGATCAATTAGACCAATCAGAGTCAACCAATCACCCATGTTTAGTGACATCACAACCACGACTACACTCAGGGGTGAAGCCTCAAGCCAGAATAAGTGGATATTCTGGTCTTCTTGGTCTTCTGAGCCACATACAGAATCATTTTCAAAATGGTTCTATACATGCACATTCTCTGTGAATCTGAAGAACCGCTCCATCATGCAAAGAACCATTTAAGCACGAAATGGCTCTTTACAGAAGTCATGGCTCTAAATAGACCCTTTCTCTTAAAGAACCCTTGAAGAACCATCTTTCCCGAGTGTAGACTCTGAGGTCTGAGGAGTGAACAGCACGTTTCTGAATTTTAACTGTTCACATAAGACTCTTTAAAAATAAGGATTTCCCTGATGTGGCCCTTTAAAAGTTCACTGCACAGCAGACGCAGCACAACACCAGGACACGCAGCGTCGTACAGGCATGACAAAGTCTTAAAATGAGCTAAAATGATGGTCTAATTTGACCCAAACAGCCCGACTGTGGTCAAACTTTTCTCCTTTATTAGCTGAGTTAGCTGTGTGTGGAGCTCAGTCGCAGCACATGTGTTTAACAGCGACACTTCACAAACCCTCCTCTCTGAAACCGAACCTACCCCGCAGTCCTGGCTCGTCATCTCTGGACCGTATGTTTCGGATTTTGACCCTCTTCCCGCTCAGCGTGGACAGCACCAGCCTCTGTCTGAGGAAATTACAGCCCTCGTATGTGAGAGACGCCATGCTGCTGCTGCTGCACCCACGTGTGTAAACCTCGGGCAGGAGCGTCCTGCTACGGAGCCACACGAAGGACAAAAAGGACCGAGAGAAGCCCGCCGTGCGTTACTTCAAACTCCCAGCAGAGGGCGCCAAAGTCACTGTTTAGAAAAATCTCAAGCCGCGTCTGAAACGATGTTCTTAAAAGGGGAATTCCACCCATTTTTCAAATTTCTGCATAATGTAATCGTTGAGATGTGACCAAAATCACTGTGGTTTGAGGTGAAACTGCGCTATTTTAGAGAAACCGAGTTGTGTGATGGGAACCAGACGTCTGAGAAGTTTTTGAACTTTAAAACTCCCTCAGAAAAAATTTTAGTGCATTTGTTACACAAAGATAAGATGTAATAATTATTTTCTTTTATACTATTTTTATTCATACATTGCAATGAAAACATTATTTCACCAATTAATTAAGTTAGAAGTTAGAAAGCAAAGTTTGAACTAAAGCTATAATTTGTATTACATCTAAACTATTTCTAACAAAGTATGTATATATATATATATATACATATATATATATATATATATATATATATATATATATATGTGTGTGTATATATATATATATATATATATATACATATATATATATACATATACTGTATGACCAAAAATATGTGGACACCGTTCTTAATTACTGAGTTCAGGTGTTTCAGCTACATCCACTGCTAACAAGTGTGTACAATCAAGCACATAGCTATGCAGTGTCCACAGACAAATCTCGTCAGTAGAATGTACTGAAGAGCCCAGCGGCTTTACGTGTGCCACCTTTGCCACAAGTCAGTTCATGAAATGTCCACCTGCTAGATCTGCCTCGGTCAACTGTAAGTGCCAAGGCTGTTTTTCCGGGTTTGGATTTGGCCCTTTGTTCCGGTGAAGGGTAATGTTAACGCTACTGCATACAAAGCCATTGTAGACAACTATAGGTGGGCACTGGCTGAATCTCAAATGGTCCCCTACCAGGGGTGGGCAATATGGCAAAAATAGAATTTCACGATATTTGAAGGCATTTTCATGACACGGTATTTATCACAGTATTCAGTTTTTCTGAAGTTTGCTAGGTTGCAACAAAACTAAGCCATGTTTTTATTCAACAGTTTGCTAAATGTGCTTCACTTTGTACAGTTAAACAGGACTAATTATGCTCTTTTTTAATGAAACATGCAGTTGGCCAGTGTTGTTTAAGTGCTAACGATATCCATGATATGCTGAAAAAAGCATATTGTGATGTTATTTATTGCGATAATGATAAAATATCATCATATGCACTGACATACATGTGCACTGACAGAGATACAGCAGTTGAAAGTTATTGAAAACATGGCAGACAGTCAGAGTTCACTGTGCACTTCACATTTCAGTGAGGGGTCTATACTGTGATAGTATGAGTTTCCAGACACAGTTCCACTGCTACTGCTTTTGCACTGAGTGCTGTAATGGCTGGGCTTTTTGTGTTCGTAGTTTGCCATAATGGAGAGGAGTAAACTGTGTTTATTGTGTGGTTTTTTAATGTCTTAGATCACTGAGCAAATATTTATTGATCCATTCTTAGTATCGCTTCAATTTCGATGAATTGCATAAAATGGGATTCCACAGATTTGATAATTTAATCGGTGGAAGTGGCTTAAGCAACTTGATTTACTTCCTTTAAACATTCTGCATGTTCCTCTCTGTCCTGCATGTATTTCCAAAATCTATTTAGGCCAAAATTACTAATTGTTTTTAGACTAACTATCAATGATATAATATCTCAGGCATCAGGCAACTTACTTGTAGCCAGCTGTAGGCAGCTTTCACTGGCATTAAACACTTCAGATGTCTGGTTCCTATCAACACCACTGTGAACCATACTGACTCTTTCTAACTCTATTTCTCAATAATGGAGCTTTTCGTATCAGACTACTCTGGCTGACTCTGTTAATCAAACATTTAATTAAGCAGAATATTTGTAAAATCAGTAGAGTGACTCTTTTAATGACTTTACCACTCATAGTAAAGCGTAAATTCCACTTTTTAGACTATAATAATTTGCACATGAAACTGTCTGAAGTTACATGTTTGTCTTGTGAGTCAATGGACCTACTTAAATAAAGCAAAAAAGCATTTTAGTTGCTTAAGTTAACTTCATTGCAACATACGTTGAACATACAAGTTGTTTTTAGTTATTAGTAATACTATACATGTGTATACCTAAGTGTTTTATAAAAGTGCACCTAACATGTTTTCTTTGTTGAGTGTATTTAAGTGTATAAGTGATAATTATATCTATTTTAAAATGCATTTAAGTGCATTTTAGTTGAGCTATAACTAAATAAGTAGCACTGAAGGTTATCACTTCATCCAGTAATATATTTATAATAAAATATAATGTAATATAATGTAATAAAATATAAGTGGAATAACTGTTATATCTACAAATGCACTTAAATGCATTTTAAAGTAAATATCAGTATCACTGAGTACAATGAAATACACTCAAAAAAGTAAAGATGTATTTACTTTGTTGAGTAAGTGTACTTAATGATACTGATATCTAATTTAAAATGCATTTAAGTGCATTTTAGTTGCGTTATAACTCAATAAGTAGCACTGAAATTTATCAGCACATCCAGTAATATAATATAATATAATATAATATAAGTGCACTAACAGTAATATCTACAAAACACATACTTAAATCTACTTAAGTGCAGCTTGATTTGTTTGAAAAGTTTTTCAGTTTTTGACATAATTTGAAAAAAGCTGTTGCTCTTTACATTGTGTGTAAATTTCATGAAGAATGGACTAAAAAAATTGCCCCAAATGACTTGGAAAAAAATCTGGTTCCATTGACTTACATTAAAAGTAGAGCATGTTTTTTCCTTCACCTGTGAAATTTTGGAGATACGAGGTTTTGTTCCGACAACAGCGACATATATAATCATAACTAAATGACACAAGTTATCCTACGTTATTCCAAAATAAAACTTTGAATATCAAAGTGTGTTTAAGTGTGTACTTTTCATCTTAAACACTCTTTTGAAAAGTACACCTCAATGTATTTTCTTTTTCAAACATGAAACACTTTTATGTCAAATTGACCCAAATATGGAAGGAAATAGGAAGTGAAAGTCAGACTATTTTATGGTGTTGTCATGGAAACGGTACTACATGTAATAAATATCTCACACAATCTTTGAAAATAGAAGTCATGAATACTGCTAATTGTTGCCGTTGCTAAAAATTACTGTTACACTCTTTGTTCTGGTCACGTCCATAAACCAAGAGAGCAGTTCAAATGGCACGGCGTGAGTTAGCATGCTGCGTATTCTAAGTAGGCTTCACGGAGGAAGCACAGTTCATAAACACAGAGCTTTGTCTGTCTCATCTCCACTCATTCGCATTATCTCTCCATCCTCAGACCAGCTTTATGAGCTTTTTCGTGATCCGCAGCAGGAAACCATGGGTTTCCTTTCATTGAGAAGCCCCCATTAACTAAAGTGTCTCAGGAAAGGCTCAAGGGAAATGGCTTTAATGAGCACTCCCTCTGTAAAGGCCCCCATGTAAATGTTAATCTATATGACTGGACATGCAGAATCCAGAGTAGATGACTATTCACATATACAGCTTAGTAAAAGGAGGTATAACAGTATAAAAGTTAGGCATAGATGAATGTTTGCTCACTATTTGACAAGCCACAGGTCACTGTAATCTGTGAAAACTTAATAAATAACCACAAATAAACTCATTTTGAACCATTCATAAACTTTATAAGAATAGTCAGAAACAATTTGTACGTCTATGAGCATCTATAAACACACGCACGACATGTTATAATGCATTAATAAGGCATTATAGGTATGTCTATAAATATTTGTTAAATGAATTACACTTCATAGCTATGGTTATTATGCATTATAAATGGTTAACATAATGAATTATAAATAGTGATAATAACATGTTATATTGTCTGTGCCAGTGAAGTCAGTCCCAGCTTGCAGAGTGTAAAGTGAAACGTTTATTTACGCAATGGCATTTCCAATATTTCCAGAGTTATTAATACAATGTGGTTTTCTTAACCAGCACTCTCACTTTAAAAATTACGTTACATCACAGCAAACCAAGTACCCATCAGACCCCATGCCTGAAACCCCCTCTGACATCACACTGAGGTGAAGTTACTGTGGAGTGAAGGCCTGGAGAGGGAGTGGCGAGATAGTAGCAGGGGTGTAAAGAGTACGGAAAATCCCTACTCAAGTACAAATACTGTTACTGTAGTGATCATTTACTCAGGTACAAGTAAAAGTATTAGTAAATAAAATTACTCAAGTAAGAGTAAATAAGTAGTTCGCTGAAAAACTACTTAAGTACTGAGTTACTTAGTTACTTTTTTGTATTTCCGCTGTCACAACCTGAACATATGTCTGAGCTGATTCGGCTACATCATTGGAAATAATCTGTACAGAAAAACTAAAGCTAAAGCTCTCAGAGCTGAGACTGATCACAGTTCGCTCTGCTAGACCACATTTACACACCTTTCTGTGAGCTGTGTAAGGAACAGGGTTTTCATTACACCGCATGTGTTTCATGGTTAGACGATTATATAAGATGTCCTAGTTTCTCTGTTTCCACTGAAGTATTTTAGAATCCCTGAAAGACGGTGCAGAGGCTGTTACTGTTTAATTAAGTTCATTTAAGAGAAAAAAACTGAGTTAAAATTATTAATATATTTATAATATAATATATTATAAATTATAAATTGCTTAATTAATGATGTAATTTTAGTGAGTCTTGCTGCCCATCAGCTGCCCCGGACTCTAGCTTACGTTAACAGGTGTGAACCTCTCACAGCCTTCATACTGTATGTTTTCACTGATATCTGTTCAGAACATTTCATGCCATTATAATCAGCAGCAACATCAGCAAATTACCCAGCTTTGATCTAAGTGTAATATATTTTACTAATCATGCTGATCACTTCATACAGAACCAGACATTATTACTGCATTTCACAGTTAAACAG